GTATAAAAAGGCTATAAATTCACTTGGTTTTGCATAAACATGTCTAGACATATATCACAAGTGGTTGCTTCTAAGGGGTGAGACTGACAGGAATTTTACAACCTTCTATACTGCTGAACTTTTTTCCCACTGTGTGCTCATATTACTGCTACAAATTTAAAAATTACTAGTTTAAAAATGGGGGGTTCTGGAGTAGCACTGTAGGATAAGCACTGAACTGCTAACCTGTTAACGGCAGGGTTGGCAGTTCAAACCCACCAGTTTCTTCTTGGAAACCCTAAACAGGGTCGCTATGAGTTGGAAATGATTTAACGGCACTTAATAATAAGTTTAAATATAGAGAATGCCTGAGTTTTAATCTGTTTGTGTTAGCCTTGACAATTGCCTAACCATTCTGAGCATGTTTCATGATCCATAAAATGGAGGTCCCACCTACTGCATAGAGCTGAGATGAGGCATGTATGATACAGCATGCAGTACAGTGTGCAAGAGACATTCAATACATTTCACCTCCCATTAGCTCCAAGAAACCTTGGAAATCCTCCACTCCCACCTGACTTTATTATTGGTAAGAACACTAAAGCCAAAAAGATTTCGGGGCTTATCAAGGTCAATCAATAGCAACCAGAAGAGCTGGATTCCAAAGTCTGGGTTCCTGAGCCCTAAAGCGACTTCTTATGAGCAAGAGTTAATCTGCTTCTACTTTATGGTCACGTCTCACTCTTCTCCTGCCTCACTCACCAGACTTGATGAGTCTTGATTTTTCCTAAAAACAAATCCACCATTCATTGAGGGGGTCCTAGGAATGCACTGGGAAGGCAGGCCCAAACAGGAGCTACAAGAATGTCTTGATCAAAGGCAGCACTAACTTCACAAGGGTGGCAAGGTTCTGGATGTGGATGTATTTTAACAATTGATCATATCTTACTGAAGCCCTGGCAGGTATCTATGTGCATATGTGTGTGTGTGCATACACACAAACACATACATTTACACACACCATTCTAACCTCTAGCCCATTGTCTTGAACAAAGCATCCAGGGTGATTTGCGATGAGACATTTAAATAAGTGTTATTGAATAAGAAATTCTATACAGGAGTAATGTTTAACAAACGCCTGTTCTTTTAACAGTCTGTGCTTAAGTGAAAGGTTCTCCTTTCAATGATATTTATACTTAAGCCTATATAAAACATTTGAGACTCAATTATCCTGATTAAAATGGAAGAACTTTCAAAATACTTTGTAAGAAATTTCATGGTGAGCAGTCTTGTCTTTTTCTGTTTAGTTGATTTATTTAGAAAGAAAGCTTTCTGATAGGTTGGGCTAAGGTTACAGTGCACTTACCTCCTTTATTAATTTCTTTCAAAAGGTGCATATATCTTGTGAAGAACAAAGATCATGATGCCTAAAATGCCTACAGGAATAAAATATTGGGGCCTACCAAGGGCAGAAGTCAAAGGGAGACATGCTGAAAAGGACAATGGGCAATGATGCATTATTACATAAGGAGCTACAGATGACAAAGCACTCAAAGGAAAGTGAGATGCTGATGAATACGGCCATGTGTAATTTAAGTGAGACATTTTCCTTTCTATCTGTGTTTTAGATGCGTAACACAATGCATGGCACATAGCCCTTTAGTAAGCATCCAACCCCCTTTCCTCCCCTTTTCCTAGAGTAGAGTGGGGCCAACTTTTGGAAACCCATCAATTATATTGTCTTTCTAGGAACCATGAATATACAACATGTCTTCCCAAATTGTATTTTTTTTTCACTTTTTCAAAAATAATTTATTTTTTGTTGATGAGAATATACACAACAAAGCATCCAACAATTTAACACTCTCTACATGTACAATTCAGTGACGCTGATTACATTCTTCAAGTGGTACAAACATTTTTACCCTCCTTTTCTGAGTTGCTCCTCCCTCATTAACATAAAGTCATAGCTACCTACGGTTCCGAGCTAATCTTTTGAGTTGAGTTGTCAGCTGGACCCAATAAAGATAATTCTTAATAGAGTATAATGCTCAAGGCAGACTTTTTTCTTTTCTTCTTCTTTTTTTTTTTTTTAAAACTAGTTGAGCTAAACTATTATTTGGTTTAAGAAGACTTCAGGGGACATTCTTGATTTAAGGGTTAAAGTTTATCTTTGGGTGAGGTGATACTTTCAGGAGTTCATCTCACTCCAAGAAGCCTTGAGACTTATCCTGTATTTACCCCTTTTGATCAAGATTCTCCTATGGAAACATTGATGGAAATACTCAGTAATAGTAACCAAGCACCATGTAGTTCTTCTGGTTTCATGGCAAGGGAGGCAGTCGTTCATGGAGGCAATTAGTCACACACTCCAAATCCTCTATTCTTGACTTGCCTTCTTTCTCTGATGGTCCAGGCAAATAGAGACCAATTTTACCTTGGATGGCCACTTTCAAGCCTTTAAGACCCCAGGCTTTACGCAACAAACTAGGAGGTAGAAGCAGAGGCACTAAACACGTTAGCAGGCTAATTAACTGGGATGTCCCATGAAAACATGGTATTAAACCATGTTAAATCAAGGTTGTACATAAGCATCCTCAAAAGGTTTTCTTTTATAATAGTTGTTGTAAATCTATTTGCATTTTGCCATTTCAACTTTTTTTTTACAAGTGTACAATTTATTGATAGCAATGACAATAATCAACCGTGCAACTCTTGCCTTAAGCAATGTGATTTTCCATCACCATAAACTGAATAAGCAGTACCCACCTTTTCCCTCTCCCACTAACTGGTAATAAACTGTGGTTTCTAAATATTTGCCCGCTCTTAATCTTTTTATGTAAGTGAGGTCATACAAGCCGTTTTCAAAAAGTTCATGGAAAAATGGAATTATAAAATAATAGAATTTTTCCATAAATTCTTTAAAGCCCCAGCATACAATATTTGTCATTTTGTAATCCCAACTGGATTTTAATATATCCACTGACTGGTGGTGGCCTGGTAAGTGCCCAATAATTCCCGAGGGCATATGAAAAGACGGGCTCAGCCCCAAAGTATGATTGAGCCCAAAACTTTCCCTCAGCTGTCCCTGCAGCTCCATAAAAGAAATCCCAGGGGCCAAACAGCAGCAGCAGCGTCTTCCTCTGTGGTCATTGTCACCCACATAGACGCTAACTTCCTAGAGAACCAAAACTATGTCCTCTAACCCTCCTGTCTATTCTCATTACCTCATTCCCAGGCAGCACCTCACAGGGTGCAGGCACTCAATAAATGTTAGCTAGCTTTTTTTTTTTTTTTTTTAAGTAAAAGATTTGGGGGAGATTGTCACTCCTTAAGACCATAAAATGCTGTAGCATTTGCCCTGGAGAGGAGTTCTCTCAGGCCTGTGAATGAGGGTTACAGACCATTATGTTACATCTGCAATACTCTACAGGATTAGCAGATGAAAGAATGTTTCTGCTGAAATGTGACAAGTCATCCTGTCTAGAAATCAAGAAAGAACACAGAGTTCCTAACTTTACAGAAACTGATTACGAACATCACTTGAGTACTAGGAGAAAAATTTGTGTTAGCCAGCTTCTGAAATCACTCTTAAACCCTGGCTGTATTAACAATAACAAAATCCATATTCATTAATATGGTCAACCTTTGTGCTCAGAGCTTCATCCCAGGGGAATGCTGAATTACATGATAAAATATTGAATGGGAACTGAAGTCACTTCCACCCACTCAGCCCTGCTTTTCCTTCGCCTCTGGACTGCACAGAGCAGAAGGCTGTCCTCTTCCAACTCACACCAAGTTTGCAGAAATGCATTCCCATGCCACTAATTAGAACCCGAAGGTCAGCATCTTGCACAACAAACTTTCCTTATGCAGTCCATACAGTGGCCCAGACACTGAGCTCCTTTTGAGATCATTTAAGCTCCACTACTGAGATAATTTAATCTCCATTTTTACTTCTTAAGATAGAAGCTTTACAGACAGTGAACAAAAAAATCAAGGGGAGGGGATTTTTCATAAGCTCCTTGTGTAGTCACAGGCAAAGCTGCTACTGGCAATCTAAGGTTCTATCTCTCAAACGGATGGGGCGGAGTGGGGGAAATCCAGTCCTGAGATTTTGTTGGCATTAGAGGAAGCTGGCCAGGCAGTTTTAGTGACCTAATGTGAAGGGAACAAGGTCAAATATCCTGGAAAGATGCTTACCACTACTAGGAGGGGAGGGGGGAGGGGACAGAAGGAGGAAGAAATGGTAGGCAGGGAAGAAGATGAAGAGACAGGCCATAGGAGCCAGGGAAAAGCAAACGATTCTACTTTACTCTATCGGTGCTGGAGACATACAAATTTGCAAAAACTGTTGTAAGAACGGCTTGACCATGCCTGGATATTTGCTATTCACAAAGAAAACTGCACAAGAAAGACAGAGAAGGCATATGAAACAGAAAAAGGAGTAGGGTGGATTAGAGTCATCACTTTCCACCAAACCTTGCTTTTGGCTTTCTCTGAGGTGACTGCTAACAAAATTGCAAAAGAAAGTTTTTCCTACAGGACTGATTGACACCAAAGATATGTTCAGAATCAACTTCAAATGGTCCCTGGGATCTTATACTTTTCATGTAAACTCCAAGTCTCAAGTTCCATTATGACTACTTCATACCTTCTCTAGTCTCCTCCTCAAACCTCTGACACTTGTGTCTTGTCCGCAGCCATTGTCAACAGATGCCCTTACCGCCTACTTCACCGAGTGGGAAGAGTAGTGAACTGGGACTGTGGAGACCTGGGCTCTAGCTCAGCCACGTTTAAACAACTTCTCTAGTTTCAGGGTTTTCTTCTGAGGCAGCCAGCGGCGATCCCACTAAATTACCCAAGTTCTATGAGAAGAAGGGCCTCCCACCAGCTCTGACAAGTTGAGACCTGGAACATCATTCCCTCTTCTTCCCTCAACCCATTCATCCCCACACAGGTCACCCAGGCTCCCAGAAGATCCTTCTCCACCCCATCATGAGAAGGGCCACCTTACCCGGATCCTCCCCGGGGGTGAAAATGGGGGAACTACGTGGCGCCCTCGGCCTCCATCTCCAGGGATATCTCCACGTCCTTGGGTGGTTCCACTCGGCCCTCTTCTCCGCTGCGAGGATAGGCCAGCAGACGCATGGCTGGGGCGCAGGCAGCCTCCACCTGGCGCACCTGCTCTTGGCTCAGGCGTTCCCTCCAGGCGTTCACTGCCTCGCGGGCATCGCGCGCTGACAGGTGAAAGGGCCGGTCCGCGCCATAGGCCGCGCCGCGCGTCATGTTGAGCGCGAAGGCGTCGAGCTCCGCAAGCGTCCGCAGCCCGGAGAAGTGCAGCAGGCGGCGCAGTTGGGTGCGCGGTTGCCGCACCAGGTCCTCGTAGCGCAGCCTTAAGTAGCGGCGCCGCAGCCAGGAAGGCGCGCCGCGTGCGAAAAGTAGGTCTCGCAGCCATGCTTCACATATCACCTCGAGCGCGCCGGTCAGAAAGAAATCAGCACGCGGCGCTGCGGGCTGCGCACGGGACGAACCCCCAGGGCGAGCGCCTACGCCATGCGCCAAGAGCACTCGGTGGAAACGGTCGCCCCTCTGGCGGGTACGCAGCACCTGGATGCTCTCGCGTAGCAGCCCCTGCCGAGACTTGAGGCGCGAATTGTGCACAGCCCGTGGGTCGCGGAAAAGCTGTACCACCTTGAGGTTGAGTCCTGGGTCACGCAGCAGAGGCACCAGCACACCCAGATCCAGAAGGCGCACGTCCTTGATGACCACCACCGGGTACTTGCGGCATTCGGCCTCTAGGGCGCGCAGCGCCACAGGCGGGCAGCTGCTCTCGCAGGCGGTGTCCTCGACCAGGCCAACCTCGGCGCGAGCTCGAGGTGCTCTGGGGCACAGAGGCGGCGAGCAGATGACCTTGTTGGTCCGCCAGCGAAAGAGAGCAGCGGTAGTAAGGTTGGCTGTGCCTGGGGCGCGTGCGGCTGGGTCCCCCGGCGGCGCGTACAACCTCAGCACGGAGAAGTCGCAGCGAAAGAGCGAGCGCAGCATGTCGCGCAGCGCGCCCTGCAGGCTCTCAGCGTCGCCCGGATACAGTGCCTGCCATAGGTGCCACATGGGTTCGTACAAGTAGAAGACGTCCGGGTGCTGGTTAAAGAGTTCGCCCAGGAAAGATGAGCCGGTGCGCCAGGTGGCATGCACATAGATGTGCTGCTTCTCACGAAACACTGCCTCCCCGACGGCTCCGGTAAGGTTGCCCTGGGGTAGGGAAGACTCACCCGCGCCCCGTTCAGGATCGGGTCGCGCTTCCTTGCCCTGCTCACGTTCGCCGGCCGCCGCCGCCTCTAGGCTCCACACTCCCAGACTGCCCTGTAGGCCCATGCAGTGTCCACCGCTCTTGTCCCTGTCGTGGCCTCCGTCCAGCACGGAGGGGACGAGCAGCAGCACCATCGTGTAGAGCACCAGCAGCAGCGCGAACTTGCAGTACTCTCGGCGTCGCCGCCGCCGGCCCTTCATCGTTCACCGATCCCACCAGAACGGTTCGGGCGCCCGTCCTCTCCCCTACCTTAGAAATCCCGTCCGTGGTCACTTCTTTGGCCTCCTCCGTCCCCTCTGCACCGGGAGGAGCGGAACCATAGGGACTGCATCCACAAGAGAAACTTGGGAGACGGCAGGCTAGTTGCCGCGCCCCTGCCCTAGCTCTGCTCAGCCTGCCTGGAGAGCCGCGGATTGGTCGGCTTGGCAGCAGCCCCGCCCTCAACCCTGCAACTTCTCTCCGCCTGTATCCGTCCGGGTTCGCCTCTGGCTAAGCCAGATCCCGGCGGGGTGGGGACACAGGCTGGCGATCATTGTGGCAGACCCCACCTTTCCTAAACCCCGTAGTAATCAAGTCTTAAGTTGACTTCAGGCGAGGGAGGGGTTTGTGTGTACTGAATGTACCCAGTTACGAGACGCGGACCCCACCCTGAGAACTTCTGTTTTATGTCTCTTCTCTGTCCATCTCTGTCCTAGGCGCATAACAAACAGCCTCAACATTTGGGGGGGGGGGGCGGGCGGAGCCCCTGGTTCTTCTCCACCTAGCATCCCATCAGCCCAGACTGGGTGTTACTGAGTTCTGGATGGAAAATTTCTCGACTAAGATAGAAAACCACCACATTGCATGGTGGTTCAGGGGAAGAGATGGTACTGCTGCATTCACACAGCACATTTAATTGTTAGTCTAGCTTTTGTAAAATTGTGAGCATTGCGTTCCATGGGGTTTTTCCAGTGGAGGGCCTTGCACAGTTTACAAACGTCTTGAGGGTCAATTTACTCATTTGTCAAATGAGAATAATGTTTAGCGCCTACCTACCTGCTGACATTATGAGATTGGGCACTGGGGTGGGTGGGAGGGTCAAGTGCAAGAGCTGAAGACAAACTGGAAGGATGGTAAACCTTTTCAGGAGCTCAGTTTTTGTGCTTTTTGTTTTTTTAAAAATAATCCATTAGAGGGACATATACCCAAGGACAGATGAAATACGAGTGTATATATGTCTATGTGTTTGTGCGTACACGAGGGGGTTTAAAAAAGTTCGTGGAAAAGTGGTATTAGGAGATAATGGAAATTTTCCACGAACTTTTTGAAGCCCCCTGGTAATTGTACAAGTAATTCATAAGAGGGATGACAGGAAGTCCAAGAGGCAAATTAAGCTTTGTCGTTGGTAGCTGCCATTTAGTGGGCTCTGACTCATGACAACCTTATGTGTAACAGAATGAAATGCAGAGTTACTGAAATCCAAAAGTGAACCAAGAGTTTTTGCTCTATTTCAGCAGGATGATAACAACGAAAGGAGAGTTTTCTGGCATCCCCTTGGGGAAAGTGTTCTAATGTTAACAAAACATAGAAAGCAAATCTCCATTAAGGAGAAGGCTGTTCAAATTTAAAAAGTTAGAACATTTCCAAAAACCTCCTTTGGTCTATTTTGTCGCTACAACTCCACCTCTGAAACCACTGGCTCAAGTATCCTTCTTTCTGTCCAAAATTTTCTCTTTTAGTGATTTGTTGGAATCTTCCTTATTCTCCAACTTCGTTGACAACTACCCCTACTATTTTTCTTCTCAATTTTTCTTATGGGGCTAATAGACCATGGGCCAATATTTTAATAACACTCCTACCAATAACCTCCTGGTGAGGGACCAGTTCCTGTAGAGGTATCATGTTTGGTAAAGTGGAGGGTCGGAGAAGAGGAAGACCCCCAAGGAGATGGATTGATGTGGTGGCAGCAGCAATGGGCTCAGGTGTTGAAACGATTGTGGGGTTGGCACGGGACCAGATGGTGTTTCCTTCCGTTCGATGGCACCTAACAACAACTACTCTCCTCAGACCTCTGACATTTACCCCGTTTGCCATTGTTAACAGATGATCTTTTCTCCTACCCTCATTGAGAACACAAAACACAACTCTCTCAGTTTCCTACTACCACACCTACAGATCCACTTACCTCTGTAGCCATCTTCTCCTTTCTGGCAAGGATATTATTTTCTGGTATTAATCTATAGCATTCATCTTCCCTGTGTTTTCATTTCCCCTCTTCCATTTTAAGCAGCTAGGGGGCTCTATGCTCACTGCCTCAGCAAAGGGATGTGACTGGGAAGAATTCAAAAGGTCTCCTTGTGATTCTTCCAAATGCCAGTAGTGGAGAATGTGGGAGAAAGATGTAGCAGTCTGCTTCCACAAAGATTGTTGTTAAGTGCTGTCGAGTCGGTTCAGACCCATAGCGACCCTGTACAGGGTTTCCGAGGATGTAAATCTTTATGGGAGCAGAAAGCCTCATCTTTCTCCTGCGGAGTGGCTGATAGTTTCGAACTCCTGACCTTAAGGTTCGCAGCCCGATTCATAACCACTACGCTATCAGATCTCCTTTCCACAAAGATTACAGTCTTGGAAATCCTATGGGGGCAGTTCTACTGTGTCTTCTAGGGTGGCTATGAGTCAGAATCAACTCAATGGCAATGGATTTGCCCTTTGGCAAAGCCTTCCCATATGGAGTTCTGAGATGGCTTTGTCACCGACATTGATCAATGGGATAGTAGTAAACATAATACAAGCAGAAGCTTGAAAAGTGTTTCTGCTTTGGGGATTAACCTCTTGTTGCTCTTTGAGATTCTGAGATCGCCATATGAAGAAGCCTGGGCTAGCCTTCTGAAGGATGAAAGACATCATGGATTAGAGGAAGCCAGCCAAGCTGAGCCCCAGCCCCACTCCACTTCCAGAACAACTGAGAGAAAATATCTTAGACTAGTGCTTTTCAAACTTTAATGTTTGAAAATCTGGGAATCTTGTGAAAATGCAGAAACTGATTAAATATCCTGTGGTGGGGCCAGAGAATCTAACATTTTAATAGGTCCCTGGGTGCTGCTGATGCTGCTGATCTGAGGACCACTCCCAAGCCCAATTGAGCTGACACAAGCTGGAAGAATTACTCAGAATTAGCAGAAATAATACTCGTAGAAGTTTGTTATAAGCTACTTTGTTTGAGGGAGATTGTTATGCAGTAAAAGCTAGCTGATAGAGAAAGGATGTGAGAGCTTCAACAAACTATTTTGAAGTAGGGGAAAGAACAGTGCTCTGCTGGCCCCTCCACTGATCTTTCCCCTAGGTTAGAGGCAGACTAAGGAGAGAGAAATCTGAGGGCTTCACAGTTGTGAGCAACTGAGCCCTTCTTCCATCTTCCAGCAATGAGACAGGGCAGAGCAGGTCTCAAATAGCAATGGCTGTATAATTCATCTTGCCATAGGTAAGTGTATCCCAAAACTTTCTGGACCCCAGGCATAACTTGGAAGCAGCAGAAGGGTCACAAAGACAGTGATAGGAATATCTCAGGGGCATCTATGTGAACTGAAGACCAATGATCCTAAGACCCCAGTTCAACAGTGCAACTGGGTAACAAAGATGAATTGTCAACTGTAACAGAAAGAGCTCTTTGTAGAAACAAAGTTGAGTTCTAGAAAAGGATTATATCACACCTAAGGAGTCCTGGTGTGATGCTGTAGGATAAGCACTCAACCTCAAGGTCGGCAGTTCAAACTAACCAGCTGCTTCTCGGAAAACGTATGCAGGGTTGCTATGAGTTGGAACCAACTCAAAGACACTTAAGAACAACAACAATCACACCTAAGTTAGTGGTCCTGCTACTTCCTGTTTCCTTATTGGTGCAAAAGAGAGGTCCCAATCCTTCCTATCAATCACTACTTCTCCCTCCTATTTAGGATAAGCACGGTTGGTGGTTCAAACTCACCAGCTGCTCCTTGGAAATCGCTATGAGTCAGCACCAACTTGGTGGCACTTAACAACAACTACCCTGCAAGGTTGGTGTAAGGATTAAATTATGTCATTTATCTAAGAATCTCTGGTGATGCAGTGAGTTAAATCTTGGGCTGCTAACCATACGTTCGGTAGTTCAAATCCACCAGCTGCTTCTTGGGAAAATGATGAAGCTGCTTTGCTTCCAGTCTTAGAAACCCTAAGGAACACTTCTACTCTGTCCTACAGGGTCACTATGAGTGAGAATTGACTTGATGACAGTGGTTTTGTTTTAAAGCTATGACCTGGTGTGGTGCTGTGGGCTAGTGTGCTCGACTGCAAAGTGTTTAAACTGCAAGGCCGGTGGTTCAAGCTCACTCCTTGGAAACTCTATAGAGTTGCTATGGGTCAGAACCGACTTGACAGCACTTAGCAACAACAACTACAACAATCTATATGTAAAAGTATTATTATGGGTTATTGTCATTGCAATTGCTGTTATTAGGAGTTCATTTTCTTTTGCCTGGTCATTCAATGCTAGAATTCCTCAAGGTTCAACCATAAGTCTTATATTTTTTCTTTTCCCTCACTCACTGGTTTTGCCACTAACTGCAAATTGACATTCCTGGCTCAGACCTCTCCTTGAAGCTCCAGACACAACTTCTTTTCTGGAAAAGGGGGATTAAAAAACATACACACGGATGTACTTACTCTTTCAGGGTCATTTCCATTTTAATACGTGAATGGCAAAACTAACTATTATGCGGTCAGAACTTTTGGAAACCTTTTTGACATCTTCCTCTTCCTCAGCCCCTCTTCTTCAATTCAGTCTATCACCAACTCAGGTTAATTTTACCTCCTCAATATCCCTTCAATCCATTCACTCCTCTTCATTTTCACTGCTACGACGCCAGTCCAGGTGACCATGATCTTTCTCCTGGAACACACAAAAAACTGCTTAGCTGTTCTTCCTAATTCTACACTGCCCTCATATATATACATAATGTTTTATTGTGAATTATGTGATAGTTTACATGGGAGAACTTTAGCTTTACATTCATCCTATCGTATATCGTTTCGTTGCCATGGTTACAATCCCCTTCATGCATCATCGATCAACCAAAGGGTTGCCCCCTGGTCATCAGCACACAGCCCCTCACCCTCTGGGTCTAAAGTCCCCAGCCGCTCCATCTCTCCACGTCATCCTCTCTACCTCTATCTCTAGCATCACTGCTTTTCTGGATAGGGTCCTGCACTCCACTCTTTTTCCTTGATGGTCCCAGGAACCTCCGCTCCTGAACTGCAAAGTCAGTCACGCCCCTCCTTTTGCTACAAATGTCTACCTTTACATTTCCAACCTTCACAGTCAGTCCT